GTCCCAAAATCACCAAACGGCGTCGGATTAGCACGAAACTTGGCACACACGACCGCCTTGGCACGAGAGACTTGTGGGAGAAGAGGGGACTCAAATCGGATTCCCGGTTTGAAAAAAATCCAACCAAAATCATGCAAATATTATTTTTGTGATGATGAGTATGACATTATGTAAATAAGAATACAAGAAAGACTAAAATCTAGTAATTGAGAAGTCCGGAAAACAAATTTTGAAATTTGTTCAAAATTTTAAAACAAAGAATTTGGTGATGAATCTATATTTAATATTAAATTAGACTTCTTTCAGCTTTATTCGTGTGACTTAATTTTATTTGTCAATATGCTTTGGTTGTAGACTCTGAATGATTTGAAGAAAAATTTAAAAACCAATCTTTATAAATAGCGTGTTAAAAAAAAATCTCTATAAACGGCTACTAGCATTGTATGGAGAAATAGACGTATCTTCCCTATTTAAAATTTCTATAACCATCACTATTGTAAACAATACTAGAACGCCATGAATGGGATCACAGCACATGTTGAGACTTGAGAGAGCAACATGAAAATGAGAGATAACAAGAATGAGAGAGTGGCGAATTGGGAATAATAATAATAACCCTTAACTGGTAAGTATAGATGATGGACATTTAACAAATAAATGTGAGAGACCAAATAGGTCTTCTGATTGTTGTAATAAGCAATTATGAACTAATATTGTTAAAATGTCAAAATATAACATCACATATATAGCTGAAACAGACAGGATAACAATATTAGAAACTTTTTCAGGGTATCATGAAGAGAAGGCTCAGTCAAAATGCAAAAATAATATACTGTTTCATCCGATTTTGACATTATGAAAATAATGTCAAAACAAAAACAACCACAAAAAAATCCAATATCACAACAGAAACTTGAAGACCCATTTTTAATACCTTGAAAATAATTAATTTCACCATATTAAAGGATTATTATGGAAACAAGAAAACACTATACTGTGTCATTCCGATTTCAGCATTACGAGAACTAGTTTAACAACAACCACAAAAATCCAATATTACAAAGAATAACAACAACTTGAAGACCCAATTTCAATTCCTTGAAAATCATTAACTTCACTATATTTATAAAAAGAAAAAAAGAAACAAAAGAAACAACTAGCTGCAATTAAGTTTATATATAACTAAAAATATGTGCTTTTGATAAATTCTAAAAACCCTTAACTTTATGACAATTAGCTTGATTAAACACGAATTTCTAGAGTCAATGTCAACAATGTACCCAGAATGAAACTGAGACATGTATACGCATAGAAAATTTATAGATATAGGAAAAACTACAAAAAGTAAACACTAGCCAAAATAAAAATGAGATTTTGTAAATAAATAAACATAGAGCACTTATAGCTCTGATAAGGAAACTCCGGCGGGAGTGAGATCTGGTGGAGGAGATGGAAGGAGGAGGGAGTTGAGAGTGGAAGGGATTGCGAAGGCCGTTGTTCGTTGCTAGCCGTTACTCGCTGCTACTCCTCCTCGTCGTCGTTCACCCTCGTCACTCGCTGCTTACTTAATGTTCACCCTCGTCGTCGTTCACCCTCGTTCACCCTCTTCAATGTATGGCAATGTTAGAACCACAGAGGTTATTTTTTTGTAAAAGCAAAATTTTCAGAAAGCTTTTAGGGATTTTGGGGATTTTGATTTTAGAAAGCTTTTTAGGGATTTTGGGGAAAACTTGACCGCGAATGGGATAAAATGAGTGGGACAGAAATTTTTACTTTTTGCGACGACATATTTAAACCGTCACAAATGATAAATATTAACAAATAAAACGACGCTGTTTTAACAAGACTTAGTTTGCGATGGACTTTTACCATCACAAATTGTCCACTATTTGCGATAGTAACTTTTTCCCATCTCAATTTTTTTTTTTTTTTTGCGACGGTACACCAGGTGTTGCAAATGTTCCAATATTTTTCTTGAACATTCATTTACGACGGGGTCACTACTGTGGCAAAACGTCATTTTTGGCGACGGCAACTACACCGTCGCAAAAAGCTCCGCGTTGTTTGTCCTGTTTTCTTGTAGTGATACTTTGTACATAATAAATGTATCAAGTACAAATTGGTATTTTTCCTCCAATTTGTTTAAATTATTTTATAATTTTAATTCAAGAAATCTCAAGATGAAGAGCATATTTGTCATCGTTTAACGAGAAGACTTGGGATTTACAAACAAAAGCATTAAAATTATTGTATTGTATTAACGAGTGTTCCAAGGAGAAATTTGAAATTGTTGTAATTTATTTTTATAAGTATTTCTGTAGTTAAAAAATGCTCAATTTTTTTAAAGTTTGTTATGTCTCTATGAAAATCATAATTTTAGCAATTTTGAGCTAAATTACAAGTGGGTCTTACTCACTATTTTTAGCCGGTCCAAGTGATAATGTGTTCTATGCCGTGTGATAAATAACACTATATGTAATTGGTTTGACAAAACAATTTTATGAGTGAATTGAAAATTGAATATAAAATAAGTTTTGAAATGAAATTTTGGTAGATATCCTACACATTGGTGATATATACTTGCCCCGCATAAGGAAGACAAGATAATTTTTATGTGCACATAAGATTCAAGTTAGAGAATTAAGTTTGGATCCTTAGTGTATTCAAATTTTGTAAGAAAAAGGAGTTATGGACGAAGAGTTTTTGAATCCAAATTACCACACGTGTATATACTACCACCTTGCCCTCAATGGATCACCGGTCAACCATATTATAAATTTTTGATAAAATTTGCCAACTCTATACTAGTACCATGAAGCATCTTTTTAGAGAAAAAAAGGTATGCGATTCGCAATTTAAATAAGTAGGGCAAATTACACATACACCCTTCGAGGTTTGGTTAAATTACAGATACCCCCCTGAGGTTTCGGAAATTACATCCCGCCCCCTGAGGTTTGTATTTTCATAACAATTTACCCCCTGAGGTTTATATTTCATAACAAATTACCCCCTAATTTCTTATGCAAATATAGCATTCAGGGGGGAATTCGTAATTTCTCAAACCTCAGGGGGGTATCTGTAATTTTGTCAAACCTGGAGGGGTGTATATGTAATTTGCCCTAATTGTTTTTCCGCTTAATAATAGGGGGTTATAAGTAATAAACAATATTTTGGACCGTGTGATAATTTCTCTAACAAGTTTAGGAATATAAAAATTATTCACAGAACCGAACAAAGAACAAGGAACGTATATAGATTTACAATCTTTTAAAAAAAAATAAGTTTCTCTATAATTTTTTATTTATTTTTCATTTCATATTAAATTTCTATATTCGTTAAAGAAATGTCTTTGTTTGGTTTGTTTTTCAGAAAAATTATTCGGAAAAATTCTCTATAAATAAATTTCAAGAATAATCAAACCAAACAAATTTTTTAAAAAAAAATCTCAAAATGTTGTTTGGTTACTTACTTTCCAAAATCACACTCTCTCTCATACACATCAAATCAATCATTTTTTTTAAAACTTTCTCCTCAAAATAATTTTCTAAAATTATTTTTAAAAAAAGGCAAACCAAATAAATTTTTATCCTTTTTATTTAAAAAATTACTTTACAAACACAAACCAAATAGACCAGTAATATTTGGTAGATAAGAGAAGTCAGCCCATTGCTGAATAAGATAAGCCCAATGCCATCTTAGGGCTGGCAGTAGAATTTGGTGGGCCTATTAGGGTTTTTGTTTCTGCAATTCAGTAGAGAGAGAGAGAGAGAGAGAGAGAGAGGTGTTATATATGCCTTCACTTTGCTAGGGTTTTTGGTTGCCTCTTCCCCAATCTTCCCCGAGAGCGAGCGAGAGAGAGAGAGAGAGAGAGAGAGAGATGAAGACGATACTGTCGTCGGAGACCATGGACATCCCAGATGGGGTGAAGATCAAAGTGAAGGCGAAGATGATCGAAGTGGAGGGCCCAAGAGGAAAGCTGACACGCAACTTCAAGCATTTGAACTTGGATTTCGAGCTGATCACAGATGCGGAAACGGGGAAGAAGAAGCTGAAGATCGATGCATGGTTCGGATCTCGCAAGACCACAGCCGCCATTCGCACCGCTCTCAGCCACGTCGATAATCTCATCAAGGGAGTCACCAAGGGCTACCGCTACAAGATGCGATTCGTCTACGCTCACTTTCCCATCAACGCTAGCATCACCAACACCAACAAGTCCATCGAGATCCGCAATTTCCTTGGCGAAAAGAAGGTTGGTTATTCTTCTTCTATTTCTCACCCATTTCCCCTTGTTTTGTATACTAATACAAATAATCTCTTATCTGATTAACAAATGATCAAATTCAGAGCTAGGTGTTATGGTGTACATGTTGGGTTATAATTTTATATTTTGGTATATTTATTAAGAATGCCTCTTATCATTTTCTTCAACAAGTTTGTTCTGTTGTGGGTTTTTGCTTGTTTAATTATGATGTTTTGAAAAGGTGATTTGTTTTTTTGCATGATTTACTTACTGTATCATCATCGATGTTTTTCATGTTATTACAAGCGTTAGATCAAGTGAATTTCTGAAAGGAAAAAATCTGAAATGTTGCTAAGATTAAACGAAATGTTTATTAAATGCCAAGTTTGCTGTGTACAGAAGTTGATCAATGTTAAGTTAGTGTGATTTTCAGTGAGTTCAGTTTATTCAATGGATTCATTGTCACGAAAATTATGATCTTGTCACAATATTACATGTTTTTGTTTCCCATTATTTTGCTGTTTTCCTAATCTATCGGAAACTGGATGGTATCTAATGTGATTCATATGGATTGAATATATGGGGGTTGTAGCAGTTTCCATTGTTCTACAGCTTTTCCCTCAACAAGCCTCCCTGATTCACCTGTGTTTATTGGGAATATTCTTCAATGACAAGTGAAAACTTGATTTTGTTATGAACTTTTTTTTGTTAAAGTATGATTTTATACATAAAAGGGGAAATAGTAGAATGTTATATATATGTATACAATCATACATTATTCAGTTGTGCATATGAACACAATGATGATGCCAGTCAAACAATATACCAGAATGGATGCATTGATAGCTTGTGTTGTTTTATGCAATTACAAAGGAGGTTCATGTATGTACGTTTATATGAAAGTTATGACCAATTGAATTTTCAGTTTGTAGTCTTAAATGTGTTTCCACTGATTTTTTTTTTTTTTTCCATCAGGTGAGGAAAGTTGATATGCTTGAAGGGGTTTCCATTCTTCGGTCTGAAAAAGTTAAGGATGAACTGGTCTTGGATGGAAATGATATTGAGCTTGTCTCTCGGTCTGCTGCCCTGATAAACCAAGTACGTACGCCTTCTCTCTTTCTCATGCACATGTACTAACATGATCCGATCAATTCCTACTTTTGTATTCTTCTGATTAATGCTGAATTATTGGCCTATTTGACATTGTTATCTCTATTTGTTTGGTCAGAAATGCCATGTTAAGAACAAGGATATCCGGAAGTTCCTTGATGGTATCTATGTCAGCGAGAAGGGAGCAATAGCCGAGGAAGAGTGATTATTATGTAGTAGCTATACATGGTGGTTTCTTTTTTTAACGTATCAGGTAGATGTGTTCTTGTTTAGCTTGAAGTTCAATTTTGTTTTGTCAAGAGTTAAATGCTTAATATGACAATATGTTTGGTTTACTACCATTCATTCATAATATTCTCGGTGTTTCCTTGAATGGGTTGTTTTTGCTGGATTTTTGAAGCATGTTGACTACAAATGATTTGATTGCCATGGAGCTTTAAATTATTATTTGTTGACGGTGAATGTTAAAAATTTGAGCTATTGTTTGGTGATATTTCATTGAGCAGTTGCCAAAGTACTTACATTTGTGAGCTCTACATTACATTGTGTAGTTTGTTGCTCTTTACTATCATGCTTCTGATTTTCATGTATAAAGAAGAATTGTAATGCAATATAAGCTCTGCACAGGTCGTCATTTGGTTGTCTTCCTGAGAAGTTAAAACCATATGATGTTTCCTATCTCAGCTATCATACATATCTCAGCCGTAGGTGAGGCTGTGTGAGACTAGCGTTATTCACAAGTGCAGTGCATGCAAGGCTTAAATTTGCTCCCAAGATGGATTTCTCTTTTTGTCCGGCTTGGACACTAATCACAGATCTTACTCCAATCATTGGAGAATGGAAAAAATTGATGATTTTGGGCATGCATTTTCTTAGATGATTCAAGGAAAAGAATTTTAAGTGTTTTGCATGTAATGTATGCAATTTTGCATGTGCAGTTTTGTAAATATTATGGTCACAAACATGCTGTCTTCAAGTGCAGTTTGAAAATTGCGATGTCAAATTTGCTCTACCGTACATGTCATAAATTATAGGGGAATTAGGGTATGTCGGTGCCTAATAAAAGTGAACAAAAAAAAGAAAAAATAAAAATAGGGAGAAAGTACAATGTAAATAAAATAAATGAATCAAATTAAATCAAATCAAGTCTTAAGTTTCATAAGATGAGATTAGTTACATAAATCTTTCTTCTCCACTTAATTCTATCTAAGGTCATTTCGTTAGTCAAATTAAGAAGATTTGTATTTCTATTTACTATACTAGTTCACGTCAATTTAGGTCCACTGCTTCCGTTAAGATTGTCATCTACCATCACTATATTGCATCTCTTCACTATTGTCATTCTCAACTTAGCATCCTCATTTCAATAACACTTATCTTCTCCATATATTGTTTCTTAGTTACCCAATATTCTGTCCTATACAATATTATTGGTCTAATAGCTGTTCTATAAAAAAAATTTTTTAGTCTAATGGGTACTGGATACTCGTTTATCGCACAGTAAAGGAGAAGGGTTGTGTATTAGGTAGCTTATAGCCAATACATAAAAAAACCGTTTGGATCCTTTATGACATGGAGCCAAATAAAATAAGTAAACAAAAAAGGAAAAAAATAAAAAAAAATAGGAAGGAAAATAGACACGGGGACAAAAATAAAATAAAAAGGAAGATGGAGAAGGTTGACAGGGGAGAGAGAAAGACTGCATGAGTGAACAAAAAGAGAGGAAAAGAAGGTGGGTGAGTAGGTAGGAGAGAGAAAAAACATGAGTGAACAAAAAGAGAGGAAAAGAAGGTGGGTGAGTAAGTAGGAGAGAGAAAAAGCACGAGTGAATAAAAAGGAGGAAAAGAAGGTAGGTGAGTAGGAATTAAAGATATCTTGATCGTAAAATGAATTTGGAAATTAATTTTAGTCATTGATACTAGGGGTGAGCAGCGGATATATCGATCCGTTAAAATCGACCAAATCGAACCGATCCGTTGCATTTTGGACGGATGGGTGATGACGAGCGGACAGTTGCGGATTGATTTTCTCCAATCCGCCAATCTGACGGACGGATGGCGGATTTGAGATTCATTTGGCCGCAACCGAACCGCCAAACCGCAAGCATCCCTTATAATTTATAGACTTTGTGTTTTCATTTTGTTTAAATATTCTGTTTGTGTTTTCAATTGAAAAAGAGTTTAAATATTCTGTTGAAAAAAAGTTTTCAACTTGAATATCTTTTTTGAATTGAAAAAAATAAACGTATTATTTATCTATATTTTTTTGTTTTTAAATCTATCTCTAAAAATAATAAATAGAAAATATGATATATGTTGATTGATTTTTGTTTTCAAAAACAGATATATATGTAACAATACAGAGAGATACAATCTCTACTACTGCTCTGTTAATGGATTTGGTGGTTTAAATTGTTATATTTTAAGATCTAAAGATTGTAATACTTTATATGAATGAGACATGCTGTGATTGTAGTGTATGGATGAAGCATGCAGTGATTGTGATATTCTAAAATTTCAAACTTTCTTGCTTTGGATGAGGCATGCAGTGATTGTAATATTTTTTTAAATAATACTTTTTTCTTCTTTTTTTGAGAAAGTGCACAAGTTGAGGCACCGTTTGGGAAGGTGGGTTGGAGACTTTTTTGGCTATTTTAGCCACAAAAAACAAAATAGGCTATTTTAGCCATAACAAACAAAACATCACATCCAACCCATAATCATTACATTCTTCTCTCACAAAAAAACTCAAAAAAGCCAAAAAGCCAAAAAGCCCTTCCCAAACCAAGCTTTTAAGCCCAGGCTAAAATAGCTAAAAAAGTCAAAAAGTCAACCCACTTCCCAAACGGAGGCTGAATTATGTTGAAAATTTATAAAATTTTAAACCGCCAAACCCATTCGCATCCTTTCGCCAAACCGCCAAACTGCTCAATTCACATCCGCCGGATTGGCGGACGGATGCGGATTGATTTTCTCCAATCCGCCAATCTGGCGGACGAATGACGGATTGGAGGTTCCGTGGCCGTAACCGACCCGCACTCACCCCTAATTGATACAAAATGTATCTTTTGAGATATTTTAACACATTTTAAAATGCAGTCAAAGTATATAGATTTATAGTATTAAAAAGTAATCAGTTTGTTTGGTTTCAGTTTTCAAAAAAATTTACTCTTTTATTTTTCGTATTTGAATGTTTTCAATAAATTTTTTTAATATTTTAAGCAATTTTTTTAAAAAAAATTTAGACACATCTAACATAAAAATATTTAAAAAGTATAATATTTGTGAAAAAATCTTTTAAAAAAATACACTAAATACCAAAAAAAATTAAAAAAATATAAAAATTTAGTACATTTTTTATTTTTTTGTGTATTTATTAATTTTTTAAAATATTTTTTCACAAATATTTTACTATTTAGATATATCTAAATAAGGTGTATCTAAAAAAATAAAAAAATTACTTAAAATTTAAAAAACATTCACTAAAAATAAAAAAATATGAAAAATACAAAATTTAGTTTTCAAAAAATTAAATTCAGAAACTGTAACCAACCACATTGAATAATATTTTTGATATTTAAAGTCACTTTAATCGCTCTTACTAATTACACAAAAAAAAAAGAAGAAGAAAAGTAACTCGGATTATTCTGTGTGTAATTTTTCTTTGTGTAGTGTTACCCTTGTTTTATATTTCATCTTAACAGCTAGCGTTCAAATGGAAACACATAAATGGTATTTACTCGAGAATAAAAACAACAGAATGGAAGCTAACAAAAGGATTCATGTCTGCAATCAGGCCGTCTTTAATTGAATCAGGAAGATTCGTCTTGTTCCACTCCTAGTTTTGCAAAGCCCCAATATTTTGTATTCGATAACATAGTTATGAATTAGAAAAAATTAGTCTAAGAGCCTTCTCTTATTTTTAATAATAGATCCATACTATTATTTTATAATGTCTAAGGTCCCTCAACCCCTGACACCCATATATCACAGAGAAATTTTATCCCCTCAAATCAAACTGCCTCTCACTCTCTTTCTCTCTCTCTGCTCTTCTCTCTCTAACGAACTCCACCTTCATAGCCGGAGTTCATCATTGTCGTCGTCTTCTCTAACTCTCTCTCCTCCGTCAAGCGAAGCTCAAAGCATCCTTATCCATGGACAATTTCACTGATATCGGAATCAAAGCATACCATGATGAAAAGACAATCCAATGGTGGGAGTGAACAACGATATCATCACCGGCAAGGCCAATGACGGAAGTGAGCCCTAGTAAGCTTCTCTTAGTTCTTCCTCCTCCGGCCCCATCCTCTACTGGTCCTGGAACAAGGTCTCTCTCTCTCTCTATCTCTCATAACTCATATACATACAAATATCTATATATATAGTATGAAATTAAACTGTTTGACAAAATACTTCTTAGAACTCCAAAACACATAACTGTGAGATTTGATTTGACAAAACTTTTCTTAGAATTGTAAAACATATAGCTATGAGCTTTGAAACTAACCTGTTTGATAAAATGCTTCATAAAAAAACAATTATAGAGAAAAACAATCACAATTTTCTTTGATTTGTTTAAAACATAGAAAAAATTGTTATTGTTTTTAGTTTCTAAGTAGCCCAATTTTCTCTGATTTGTTCAAAATATAGAAAAAATTGTGATTGTTTTTGGTTTCTAAGTAGACCAATTTTCTCTGGTTTGTTTAAAACAATCACATGTGATTGTTCTTGATTTCTAAGTAGTCTAATTTTCTCTAGTTTATTCAAAACATAGACAAAATTGTGATTATTTTTGGTTTCTAAATAGCTTAATTGTGACAACCCTCACTTTACTCTAGTCATGCTTGCATATATTACATGATCTTGTCTTCATATGTTGCATATGCAAAACCTTGATTTGTCTTGCATAAGTGTTACTTGCATGCTTTGTTCCTTGTCTGGTGTGTGTGTATAGCCTAGGTTAATCCAAGCTGAGGTCACCTTAAGCTTAGAACCATCTTGGAACCACTTTGGTTGACCTCCACCTTCACCAAGACATGTTGGCCGAGATGTTACCTTTGCGCCTAAGTGATCTTGTTCCTGGGTTGGTGCGACCTAGACCGAGGTGTGGCACATCTAGGCCGAGGTGTGGCACAGCTAAGCCAAGTGTTGTCCTTCCTAGCTGAGATCATTGTTCCCCTACTTGCCGATGCCTTGTTCTTAGCTGAGGTCATTACCTGCCGGAGTGCCTATGCCATCTTGCTTGTTAAACACACTTTGTCATAGTCTTGTCTTTTCACTCACTCACCTTTTTTAGAAGAACCAACCAACCGTTGTCACGTGTCCGAGCTGAGTGTTAAACCAGCCGGCAGAGAGAGAGAATGCATCATTTTGTATCATATCTTGTTTTTGAGGAGAGAGAAATTCTTAGAGGATGAATAGATTTCCAAGCTTGATCCTTAGGGTTCAAACCGTTT